TAGGGACTATACCATAAATAAGCACTTCATTAATTGTAGATACTTCTGGTCAAATTTTTAAAAAGTGGTTGATATTTTAAATATAAAAAATGTTGTCCTCTAAACCAGCTGTGGGAGAGGTGGTTGGTATTAAGATTAGTAAAACAAAATTCAGATTTAAGAGCAACCTGAAGGTTTACAAGAATTTAAAAGGCACATTATAAATTGAATTAAGCTTTAATGGTGGGCAAATGTTATATACAACTTAGATTCTAATTTCCATACATGAGAGTTGAATACCCGGCTTTTAACAGGGGAGTTCATTACCTAAGTGTCCTTTCTTTTGTAAATCTTTCCTCTAGGCTATAGATAGAGCTCTGTTTAACCACAACTATCAATGAGGCAAACAACACTGGCCTTTCCTATAATGAGTAGAAACGTGTAGTGACTAGTCCCATTAATTTTAAGGGTGTCAGAATCAATAAATATCAATATGATATGTTGTCTATTTAACAAGAAAAGGGGACTACAGAAACATAATATGACTTAGAGCCTGGCATTACATTTTTCACCAAGCTCAGTCCTGTGTATGTACATTCTAATGGGAAATGACAATATAGTTTTTTTAAACTTGGTTAGAGTTTCTTGAGTTACAGGTGTTGGCTAGCATAAATGACATAGTTCCATTAAAGTCCATGTACTCATGTCAATTTACAGTCATTGAGGATTTATCCCATTATTAATATTGTGATATAAATCTTTCCCCAAATCTTTTGAAGATAGGAAATAAACTTCATTTAAATGGGTCTAAAGTTATGGTATGAAATCATGGCAGCCCATGTTATTTTGGGGAACTGCTTTTTTCAAACCTAAACTTTAGTTTCAAAAGTGACTTAAGAGCTTAAGCCTTCTTGAAAGACTGTATCAGTTATAAATCCATGAGACCGTGCTCTGGAAGGCAACAGATAGTCAGTAAATCCACAGGGATGAATAATGAGAGACCTTTCCTCTAGTTAGCTGGATTTAAGATATAAATGGTGAGGGCCAGCAGGTCTGCTAGGCAAGCACTTCTTTTTGTTAAACTTTAGTTTAAAAGCACAGAATAGAGATAGGAAGAATTTGTAAAGGTCTAGTTCCATAAGATGCTAAGTACCTTGCAAGGACCTTTAAATCCCACTGATGATATAGCGTCTCTCTGTACAACTGTGACACAAAACTTGGGATTCACCATTCTGGGTGTGCTGATTACCTGAGTCTTTTCAGCACAGCACCTTCTGGCCATAGAATAGCAGGATAGAGGAGAGGAAGTTTTTCTCGCTGAAGAGCAGGAGTGCACTATGATTTAAAGTGGAAAGTCAGTTCAGGTTGCTTTTTCTTTTTTAAATTTTATATAAATCCAGAAGGATAATTTCTTTGAAGGATTGACTCATGTACTACAGTTGCAGTTTGCAGCTCCTAGCAGTACAGCAAAACTGCAGGTTGCATCATCCTGCAGTCTCTGCTAACTTTGTCGTTGATACAAAATGAAAGAAAATAAAGGCATTATTCAGAGCCCACTGAATCAGTGGAAAGAATTTCATCGACTTAGATCATATAAGATTGCACATGGAGATTTACTTTAAAAGGAAGGGATTTTGTAGAAGATAAATGCCAATACTTCTATCAAGTCAGAGATTAATTTGGGCATCCTTATTAACTGTCCCCACCAAAAGAACCCCAAACAGATACAGTTGTTCTGCAGAGTTTCTATATTATACTCCTTGAAGTTTTTTACTTTATCAATCATAATACCTATGGTGACGTAACATCATTAGATTTCCTGATGTCGTGTAGACTATGGTAGGCCTTAAGTTGTTTCATGCTGATATGGTAGATAGCATTTGCTTGCATTCCTTTAACCAAAGTTTGGGTGAGAAGAAGAAGCAAAGGAAATGATGAGGCCAGAGGACATCATAAGGTATGAATCATTTTGGGAAATTTAAGGAAGGAAAAAAAAAGGGTAAAGGTCACTAAAAGTCAATTACAGTAAAGGTCAATTAGAGTGATTTGATGCTAGAAAAGGCTAATTTTAGACAAGATAGGGAATAAAAATGGGTATATGAATACTAGTTAGAGTAATACCTATTAGGAATATGTGTGTGTGTGTGTTAGCTTATTTGTATGTATGTATTAGCTTATTTAGTAAGCTTTTTTATATTGAGCCAGTCAAATAGTCTAAAAATCTAGGTTAATCTCTGAATTTGTGCTATTTATCTTTGACCTATGGTACGTGCAGAATAGCCCATCTGCAGGTGAACCAAGATAAGAGCTCTTTTAAAACTTAATTTGAAATTTAGGTGAGAAGTCCTTTCCCCTAACATGCTGACCCCATTAGGGGCTTTTAAAGACTTTTTGAGCTAAGGAAATGAATTTTATATTCTCTCAAATGTTAATAGGATTATTTATTTAGATAAATGCATATGTAACAAATTTTAATCATTTGCTTGGTGTGCTTTAACTGTGCTGTTTGGTCATTTATATAATCTGTATATAGTTGTTATTGTTGCTATTAAAATGTATCTACATTTATGCTTGTATTTTATTTTGGCAGGACTAGCTCTTTGAACTGTTCTTGCTTCTCAGAATATATTTGAGGATCAAGACATGTTCTTTTCCTTTCCCTGTGCAGTGTATTTCCACTCTCCTCTTCGACTTTTATATATTCATTTCCCACATTTTTCTCCATGTGGCTGCTTCCTAGCCTCTCCTTCCCTATTTATTCCCCCCTCCTCCCACCTCATTGCTTCTGCAATCTCTTGGTGCTTTCCAATCTCTGTCCATTTCAAAATGTTTTGTCCATCTTCTCTGTTATATCCTAGGATGTCCTGCTCTTCATTTATCTACCTCCTTCCATGTAGATCCCAATGACTAATAAACACTATTAGATCAAAAAAATTTCAGGCTAGCTAACTCATTACCCTGCTCTGAAGCATTACATTTTGTTCTGTTTCTTATATTTTAGCCATGTTGAACTGGTGTTAATATTTATTGTAAGGAAAAAGGAAGATATTTTGCATGTCATCTTTATGACATTTATCTTAGATTTAAAAACTTCAGTGAAAACATTTGAACCACTGGTGATTTGGCTGGAGCATTATCAAAAAAAGTGAATGTGAGAATGTTTTGGCTTCCTTACAGGTTTTCTGGCAAGAAGTTATAGTTAAAACATGATGCAGTTGCAGATAAGTGCAATCAAATCTTGTATTCACATGCACTTTGGAAAAGAAAATATAGATCACTGTTGAAACTGTACCTGCTGGCCAACAGACCAAGGCAAGAAAAATAGGTAGAGAGGACTGACAGCAGGCTGAAGAGAATCAGGACATCAGATCTGGGTAAGTGCAAAGTAGCACAAAGGTTCCTGGGGCATGGGCAGAATAAGAGATTAGGAGGGCTGAGGAACACAAAAAATACAGTGTAGGAAACTGTAAAGAAGGCTGCGTAAACAATTCAGGATTTAGGTGTATGAGAAATCACTCAAGCTTTCCTCACCCATCCTTGTCAGTGTTCTTCAGAACACAGTGGTATGCCGGTAGCTGTGCACACTTCTGGCGTTTAATATTCTCTCCATGTATGCACACTTGCACATAAATACATATTGATTCAGCTGATTTGGCCTGGAACATGAAAAATTTCATTAAAAAACCCCATAAATCCATATTGAACAGTCCTGGTTGGCAGGTGAATGAATACTTTTCATATCTTAATTTTTACCCACCCCAGTTCCTTTTGAGCTCAGAGTAGTTTGCCAAATGGATGCTGAGAAAAAAAAAGGCTAGAAAGTTGTATCACTGGTATCTGGGGAAAAAAATCAGTTTAAATGAAATGAAGGAAAAAATTAGCTAAACCTTATTTAGGGCATTATCTCAGGCTAAAATGTGTAGCTGGTGTGATGATGAAGGATTAAGTTACTTCAATTTCTGCTAGGGCATTTCAGTTTTCAGTAAAGGTATCATGCCACTTCAGCATCAGAAAGATTGGGTGGAAATTCATAGAAATCATAGAAATAATAGAAAAGTAAGGTCACAAGGGATTTCCAGAGGTCATCTAGTCCAACACCCTCCTAAGGCAGGAACACCCCTATAAAATCCACTATCTAATTTATTAGCAAAACTACGCACTCAACTTCAATACAGCCACAAGGCATAACACCCTAATTTGTCAGAGGTAAAGGAGGGGGACCTCAGTGGCCATTTTCCTGCTGCTGCAAAGGTTGTTAAAATACACTCAAGAGATCCAAGGAAGAATGCCATGCCCCTGCTACAGAGGGAAATACCCCCCCACCCCCCCAAATCCATACCAATCTGACCATGGGGTAAAATTCTTCCTGACCCCAAATATGGGTATTAGTCTGACCCTGAGCTGGGAGGCAAGACCCTCTCGGCAGAATCTCTGGGTTTCAGTCCCATCAGGAGTACTGGCACACTCCAGTCAAAATCCCGTCTTGGTATGTTGGATATTCGGATAGAAATTGAAATTTTGTGAGCTGTGTTAGTTAAACAGGGAGTCCCTGCACCTGTATAAAGAGCAGGCTACAACTGTGAGGAAACAGAGCTGAATTCCTCCACCTTCTCCTTGAAGTCCATGAAAAATATGCTAAGGCAATGTGATTCACAAGAAAACAAGGCTGATGCTTGTATTTGCCTTTGCTTCTAATTCACTGCAGCTAATTTTGAAATGTTTCAACCATGCATTGCGTGAGTAGGACCAATTCATCTATTTATGGAAGAGAAAGTTTTCTCAGAATTGACAATATCATTTCTAGCAGGAACTTGTTAACTGATTAGCACATTCCACTTGGGAAACTTACAAAAAATGCAAATATTTTTGCTTTGACAGTAATTGCATACATCTCAATTTTGATCTCGTTTACTAGCCATGTTGCAATATTAGCTTGGTGCTTTAGTTGTAGGCAAAACCCCAGCAGATGCACCAATTACTTTACATACTGTTTACCCGCTTTTGGTGACATTGAGGCTAACCTTGGAGTCACCTCCCCCGCTGCCACATTCTCCTTTGTCGTACCACCATTTGTTTTTCAATTTGTCCAAGAGGCCTTGTTCATTCAGTTTTAAAACTGCGAGGTTAACAGCATTTCTTGAAACGATAAAACATATTTTGTAAGAAACTGCACAGCTGTTAAGATGTTAGAAGGAATGAGGACTTAAGCGCTTTTATAAGCTTCATCCACATGCTAAATAAACCTCTCATTTCCATATTATAAAATCCCTTACAGTATAAGAAAACTTGTTTACTTTCAAGCATGAAAAGTATGACTTTTTTAATGGCTTAGCTTTTAGCAAAAAAATGAGATTTCAATCAACCAACCAAAACAGTTATGTGAGCATATTTACAAAATAACTTTTTTTTCTGACTGGATATCATTAAAACCATCAGCTCAGTGCTCAGCAGCTAAAAGGCAAATAAAATATTAGGAATTATTAAGAAATTAATTGCAAATAAAATGGAAAATATCATTATCCCCCTTTATAAATCCATGGTGTACCTTGGATACTGTGCCCAGTTTTGGTTCCCACTTCTCAAAAAGGATATAGAAGAACTAGAGAAGATATAGAGAAGGGCAACAAGGATGATCAGTGGTATGGAGGGGCTTCCATATTAGGAAAGACTTAAGAGTTTAGTCCTATTCAGTTTTGAAAAGAGGAACTTGAGGGGGGACATGAGGGGGAACATGATAATAGTAATTGGTGAAGAGAAAGTAAATAGGGATTTCTTATTTACTTATTTTTGGAGGAAAAGTGCATCAGCAGCTATTGAACATGGGAATTAGGGTACAGCCTCTGAATTAGAACTTCCTAGACCTTAAATGTCTAGACTTCCTAGACCTCAAAACAAGCTCAATATAGGCCTAGATTTTTAACAGACAGGAAATGGTATTTAAGTGCCATATTTTAAAAATCTAAATCTGTACTTTATAGTTAGTTCCACAGTTACTGCATATTATCCAGAAAACCTAAATGATTATTAATCCATCAAGGCATGTATACTATGTTCATTACATTTTATGGAAGTTTAATACTTTATGGGATGTTAATAATGTCCAAGCCCCCTGCTGCAATTAATTTAAAATTAATTGCCAAGTGGCACAAAGCCTACTGCTAAACCCCTAAATCAATGTTTACTCATAAATATTAATAATAAGCATTTATATAATGATCCACTTGTTCAAAGAACTTAACACATGACGGCATTTCTTGTATCTCAGGGAGCCCACAAACAGCTGCATGCCTTTGAGATGTGCACCACACTTCTCTGCAGGCAAAATCTGACTAGGGCTGCCTGCTCAAGTGGAGGGTTTGTGGAATAATGGCTCCACCTACTCTCCATCTCCTTTGGGTGAGTATTCATACCCAGGTGGGCAGTATCTGTGAACTGAGCACAGGGGCAAGGTAAAGGAATTCTTTGTACTCTTTCACCCTGCTCTGCACATCCTTTCACAGTTCACAGAAGAAAAGGCAATGTCATTATTTCCATTGTTCAGAAAATGAAAATAAGGCAATACCACCTCTATGGGATGTTCCCCCTTTTGACCCTGTTGAAACTTATCTGTGGAGGATATACAGTGGAGAAAGACTTCAGTGAAGGCAATGACCACATTCACTTAATTGCTGTCCATCTCAATGTTGTGGAATCCTCTATGCAGGATTTAAGAGAAGCAACAAGTTGGAGAACATTTGGAAGCAGTGCTTTGGCAGGGTTGCTGGTGCCAAGAGTCACAGGGGATGAGGAGGGTAGGAACCTGGAGAGAGACCTTCAAAGAGTTGCCTATAATGCCATAGATCTAAAGGAACCTTCTGCATGGCAAGGGAAAGTACCTGGGTTCCACAGATGAACAAGAATAACAGAAACTATAACAGTGCTGACTCATGACATTTTCCATCTCATTGGGTGCATCTACACAAGATGCTTTACTGCGCAGTAGCCTAGTTTGCTACATGGTAAGCATGTGTGTCTACATGTGCACATATTTACTGCGCAGTAAACCTCACTCATCGTGAGACAATTTGCTACCTACAAATGCAAGTAGCAAATTTACTTGCAATTACTTACTGCGTAGCAGTGCTCATGTAGATGCCTGACCAGGAGCAAATCTGCTCCCTGTCAGCCGGCCACCAGGGGGCAGGAGATTGCTCCCTGCCCCTGGGAGCTGCCTGCTACTGGGGTAGGTTCTGCCACTAGAGCCCAGGCAGGGATTATGTCTCCCTGCCCTGGCAGCAGGGAGCTCCAAGCCCCTGCTCCGAGATCATGATCAGGGAGTAGGGGTTAGGAGATCCTTATCTCCTAGCCCCCACTTCACCATCACAATTGGAATGTGTATATGGAGGAGGGGGGCTAAGAGATCCTTATCTCCCAGTGCCAGCTCTGTGACAGTGGGGCCGGTGCTGAGACATCCTTATCTCCCAGCCAAGCTCTATGGGCCAGCCTCACAAATGAAGAGCTGGCAGAGAATCTCCCCATGCTGGCTCCTCTGTTACAGAGCTGGCATGGGGAGCTCCCTGCTGGTGGGAGCTGGGGATACTGTTCCCCACTCAGCACCACGATCATGGAGCAGGAGCTCGAAATGGTCCTGGGTGGGGTAGGTCCCATCCCCCTGCCCCAGTCCATTGGTGGTGCAGCTAGCAATGAGCTAGCTGCCTCACTGGTGGATCAGGGCAGGGGGTGTCAGATCTGCTCCTCCCCTGCAGCTCTTTCCAAGTCCTCTGCCCTCAATCAGGGAGCTGGGGACAGGAGCTCCCTGCTGCTGGGGAAGGGGGACATTGTCCCTGCGTTTGTAGCAGGCAGCACCCTGGGGGCAGGGTGCAATTTCCCAGCCCTGGGCAAGAGACAGCTGTCTTCTGGCTTGGTGCTCCCTGCCAGCCCCTGGTCAAGCACCTAGCAGGAGCCTAGAGCTCCCTCTGGTGGTGGCAGGCACTGGTGATGCATAAGGGGTGCATACAGGTGCATGTGCACCCACTGAGATTGGCCATGCACCCCCTGGAAGTGCCAGCCACGAAACTGGAAGTGCTGGTGGAAGTGCACTTCCAATTTTGCCGGTTTTGCCACTGGTGGTTCTGGGCTTGACGATTGGCCACTGGGGGACCCCAGGTTGGCAATCTGGTGCCCAGCCAGACTCAGGAGGCACCAGTTGCCCATGGTGTCAGGGGCTCATTGCAGGACCCCAGGAAGCGTGAGAAGTTTGCTGCCGTTAGTAGCAAATCTGCTTCTGCTTCCCTGTACATGTGGATGCCTGCTGGGGAGTGTTTACTCATGAGTAGTTTACTCATGAGTAAAATGCTCCTGGATCTAATGCATGTATAGATACACCCACTCAGGAATAGATTTACAACCCTGTGGGCATGTCTACATGTGTGCATTTAAAGTGCACTAGCCCAATTTAAGGTGTACCCATAATGCACTTTAAAATGATGATTTTAGCCTATTTGTGCCTAAATTTGATACCCAATTTATACATAAAGTGGGTATCAAATCTAGGCATGAATAGTTAAGTCACATTAGTGCATGTGTAGATGCACTAATGCACATTAACGCAGTGTATGTCAATGGATAAACACCATGTTAATGCGCATTAGCATGTCTGCACATGCGCTAATGAGACTTAGTTATTTGTGCCTAAATTTAATGCCTCTTAATTCACATTAGCACATCCATGTGTAGAAGCGTGCCTAATTCGGCTTAAGCAAAGGCGTGTTAAGTTTAGGCACATGTAAATACACATGTAGAAATTCCCTGTATGGAATAAATGACTATTTTAGAACATCTCTCTTCTTTCTTTTATTGCCTGATAACAGCTTTTCATATAAGCCATTCTTGGAACCTAGGCAGATCCATGCTGGCTAATTATGACATTTTGGAAACTATTTGTAGCAGAAGTGACCTGAGCCTGTTTTCTTTGTAGTTACAGTTATATTAGATTGCCAATATAGATAATGTAATTGCTTGCCTGTCCCTGAATCTGGAAAGAGAGAACTGTAGGCCAGAGTGGGAGTGATAACACTGTTCTTTGTGGATAAAGCCTTAGAGGAGAATTTAGCAGCTAATCTGACAAATGTAATTTTGTATAAGTACTTTAATTATGGTTCATGATCTAGGGGGAGAGGTGACAATTGGATTGAAATTGTTCATTTGTCCCTTTCATTCCAGGAAGCAATTGCTTCTGAACCACGGATACGTACCATGGGTTTCCAATTAAACTTTTAGATACAAAGGTTATGCTTCTGTCCGATTCATAAAGTTATCATGATGTCTAATCCTGCTATTCTTATTCAGCAAAAGTTCCTGTTAACTTGAATGAACATTTTACCTGAGTGAGAACTTGACACTAGTGCATATTATTTGTTTTGAAAACATTTAACATGTAGGGCCTCAGGATGCTGTCAGTGAAATCAATAATACAGTACTGCCATTTATTTCAATTGGAGAAAGGGCAGGGTTTAACTCAGTGTTGGAGTCTTGTAATCCTCATACTGGGCAGCACTGACATGAATGCTCCCCTTGAGAAAGCAATTGTGTGTTAGGGGTGCAGAGCCAGATCTGCATTAAAGATAAGTGGAAGTCCCTGGTATGAAAATGAGGAACATCTCAAGGAAAGGTAAAAAATGTCCTGATTCAGCAAGGTGTTTAAGCAATGGCTATGTACAGATGAGACATTTCTACTGTGAGAATTGTTGCTTTCTCCATGGAAACTATAAATGTACATATGTTCATTCAATTTCTGCCAAGGGAAGCATGCCCCCTCTGGGAGAAGAATCAACCTGAAAGATTTTTCTTGCAAGAGAAACTCTCTTGCAAGAATTAATGTGTGTAAGATACCCTCCTGATCTGGTGTTGGACGGGAGAGAAGCAGCAGAAGAATGTTCCCTGCCTTTTCCCTATATAGGGAATATCCACTTTAGGGAATAGGTTGGGGTCTTTCTCCCACTATTCTCCTCTTTCCTGAGCTGGCCTGGAAGGGACTGGAGTGGCAGGGGCAAAGTCTCCTAACTCCTCCCCAGACTGTGGTCCCTAGTCTGAAAAGCAGGTGGGAGGTGTTGCTTGGTTTCTTCCTTTGTTCTGCTTCTGGCAACAAGAAGCAGAGT